AAAAATTAGCTCGGTATGGTGGCGGATGCCTGAAATTCCAGCTACTCGGGAGGCTGAGACAGGAGAATCGCTTGAACCTGGTGGGGGCAGAGAATGCAGAGAGCTGAGATTGCACCACTGCACTCTAGCCTGGGTGACAGAGTAAGACTCTGTCTCGAAAAAAGAAAAAAAAAAATTAAATGGAAGATTCTGGAAATAAACAATTCATAAGTTTTTAATTCTGTGTAGTTCTGAGTAGTGTGATGAAATGTCCTGCCATTTTGCTGCATCCCACCCGGGACATGAATCCTCCCTTTGTCCCATGTCCCCATTCTGTAGACACTCTCCACTGCTTAGTCACTGAGTAGCCATCTTGGTTATCAGATCAATGGTCACAGTATCACAGTGCTTGCGCTCAAGTAACTCTTATTTTGGTTAATCATGGTCCTAAAGTGCAAGAGTAGTGATGCTGATAATTTAGATATTCTAAGAAAAGCTGTAAAGTGCTTCCTTTAAGTGAAAAGGTAAAAGTTGTCAACTTCATAAGGAAAGAAAAATATTGTATACTGAGGCTGCTAAGATCTAAGGTCAAAATGAGTCTTGTCTGTGAAATCGTGAACACTATATTGTTATAAGTGTTCTGTTTTATTATTGTTGTTGCTCATATCTTACTGTGTCTAATTTATAATTCAAACTTTATCATTGGTATGTAAGTGTAGGAAAAAACATAGTTTATACAATTGTCAAAGTCAAATATGATATAGAGATGAATCTCTAAATTTAAAATGTTTTAGTCCAGGCTTGGTGGCTCATGCCTGTAATCCCAGCATTTTAGAGATCGAGGCAGGTGGATTACTTGAGGTCAGGAGTTTGACACTAGCCTGGGCAGCATGGTGAAACCTTGTCTCTACTAAAAATACAAAAAATAGCCAGGCCTGGTGCTGCATATCTGTAGTCCCAGCTACTTGAGAGGCTGAGGCAGGAGAATCGCTTGAACTCAGGAGGCAAAGGTTGCAGTGAGCCAAGATCTCACCATGGCACTCCAGCCTGGGTGACAGTGAGAGTCCATCTCAAATAAAATATAAAATAAAATAAAATAAAATAAATAAAATATAAAATAAAAAAATAAAATAATAAAATGTTTTATATGGGAAGCAAGAATTGAAATTCAAGGAATGCACACAGACTGGGTGGTCTTCAGTATGTCCAAAGAACGAGAGAAGGTTGGAGGTTTTATAAAAAGGAGAAATGTTACCTACTGCTTTTCAAGAAAGTTCATTGGCACCATTTTCAAGAAAGTTCACTGGAGAGCTGGCAAGCTCTGAATGGTGAGTGACTGCAGTAGGTAAAACTAGTCTGAGAGACACAGCAGCTTGTTTCAGTAGCTGTTGATAAAACTAGTTTCAGGTTACAACAGGCAGTTTCAGCAGCCAGGCTTGCGGAGAATTACATTCTCAGAGCAATGTTATATGCCATACGTTCTTTTTCTCTTAGGCTTCTTTACTCTGAATTGGTTGGATATGAAAAAAATGACCCAATTTGTATGAGCAACTTTCACACAGTATAGCGCTAGATATCTCCATGGTTTTAGGCACCCACTAGGGGTCTTGGAATGTATCTCCTTTGGATAAGGGGGGGTGCTACTGTACTTACCTCTGCAAATAATCTCATGGTATTAAAAGTCCCACGGCTTTTAATACCATCTACATGCTGTTCACTCCTGTGTCATCACCAGGGGTCCAGGAAGGAAAACAGAACCCACACCTGGTAGTGCAATAGAGAGAATTTAATACCAGTCGGTTGCAAAGATGTTGGAAAAGTTGTAAGGGCAAACTGGAGAGAGAATACCAACATCAGAAAGTTGATGCCTCCCTAGGGGTAGAGAAACCAAGAAGGAAAGTGGAGTTATGAGAGTTTAGGAATAGTGGGAGCTAGGGACATGGAGGAGGGCTTGCCTGGTGGGGATTTAACTACAGAGGAAGTGCATTCATGCTAGAGATGTTGCCTAGAGCAAAGAGAGGGGAAAGTACTCTGGCTTTTCCTCTCCTACTGACTGCAGTCTTTTGCCAGTGTCTTCCATTGGCCAAACTTTCCCAGAGGCCAGTTGGCAAGGAAGCTTGGGAAATGTAGCTTGCGTGGGTCAACCTTGCACACCCCACTCTCCTGGTATCCACTCATCCTCAAGCCATGCAGAGTAGAGCATGAAAGAGCAGGAAATGAATCAGAGTGCCAACAGGCAAATGAACACTAACACTTCCCCTAAATTAATATCTCCAGCTCCAAGAGAGGACCTCTTCTCTGAGTTCGATTCTGACATGTAATTGTTCACCTGACACCTCCACTTGGTTGTCTAATAGTCCTCTCTAACTTAACATGGCCCAATACAAACCCTTGGTTTAGCAGAACATGATTCCTTCTCAGAACATGATTCATCCACTGCTCAGTCAAAAATAGCAATGCCCTCTTTGATTCTTTTCTTCACTTCCTACTTCTTCCAACCTTTTAGAAAGACCAATTGATTGTTCCTCCCCAAACAGTTCCTCTCCATCTCCACTATGACCACTTTAGGCCAAGCCACCACCATTTCTTCCTTAGGTGACTATAATGACCTCCCACTGTGTCCACTTATAATGCATTGTTCAGGGGGCAGTTCCTGCAGACCTTGAGGGCAAGGGTAAGAAGCAGGGGCTTTATTCTAAGTGCTATAGGAGCCAATGGAGAAAGCAACATAAACTGATTTCTACCTTAATGAGATCAGTTTAGCTTCCTCGTGGGAAATAAAATACAAAGGAACAAAAGAGGAAGACCACCAGTTAAGAGGGAATTGCACTTCTCAGCCCCCTTCTTCCACCTCTTGTACCTCTGTCTCCCCACTCACCAGCTACTGGTCTTCTCCCTGTTACTCCAACATGCCAAGCTTGTTCCCTCTTCAGGATCTTTTCACAGCTAAAATCATGCTTGTCCTGATTTTAGCACAACTGGCTACACATCACTCAGGGCTTTTCTTCTCAAGAGATCTTTGCTGACTCAGCTGTAGTAGTAATGATGGCTGCTCACAAAAATCCCCTCTCTCTCCTTCCAGGCACAAAGTAAGATTGCACTTCTCTGCACCCTGGACATGAGATGTGGCCATATGACTTGCTTTGGCAAATTAAGTATGGGTGGAATCTTTAAGATCCCACTGTGTGCTTCACCCTTTTTCCTTCTACCACAGTGACCACCAGTGTTTCAGATAATGGCTACTCCATCAGCCTGAGCCCTGGAGAGGGGATGACAATTATCCAGAGCACAGCTCCCCATCAACCAATAGGACACAGAGTGGAGCAAGAAAGAAATCTTTGCTGTTTTAAGTTGCTGAGACTTTCAGATTGTTACCATAGCATACCTAGCCTCTCCGGACTGTTACAGCCCTTCAGTCCCACACGTCAGCTTATACTGTATTGTGTCCATTGTGGAAATTACCAACTGATAATGTCCATTTGTTAGTTTCATTTATTGATTTTATTTCCACTCTGCAACCCACACCAAGTTCATGAAAGCTCCACGTGAGCCGGGTCCTTGTCTATGTGGTTCACCACCATACCTTCTAATGCTTGAAGTTTCCAGTGCATAGTCAGTAGGCAAATATTTGTTGATTGAACTTCTGATGGATTGCACATACAAGCATTTGTTTTTTGAATGCTATTTTGCCAACAAAACTGGAATAAATGCATCTTGCACTCAGCATCTCTGAAGCACCAAAGCCTAACATTTCACTCTGCTATTTGTGGGTTGGACTGACAGCCTGGGTTACACCCTCCCAGCTAATTCGCAGGAAACCAAGTTGCTCTCAAAGTTATCACGATTCCATGGTCAGAAAAGGCCCTGCTAAAGATCATGTGCAGCAGATAAACAAAAATAAATGAAAATTTACAACCATAAACCGTAAGAGTGAAGTCACCCAGAGTTTGGAGATAGAGTGGGACAGAAGTGATTCTGGAAACTGTTTTTACCACTAAAAGATGTTGTTTTACCCTTTTAAAGTTTTTTGTGCTGACTTAATGTAACTCCCCAGAAATGGCCAAGTCTCAAATTTCACTATTGTCATAAAATACTAGACCTGAAAAAAACCTTAGGGATCACTCAATTCAGATTACTCCATTTATCATCTGGCTTAATTTTAATTGGAAACCTCTTAGTCTCACCGACGTCTGCTGCGAGCTTAGAATTTAGAAATTCACATTAGAGATAGCGTTGCTCGAAGTTGTTGCCGTTTTTGGTACTATCAAATATGTTTAAAAATATTTTTTTCTCCACCACCCCCTTATGTAATCGTAATAACACTATAAAGATCACACTTATAAAATTAATCCCACAATATTTCTAGGTTTTATATTTTTGCTCACCTAACATCTTTCCTTGATGTTTCAAAATGTCTAACATATTGAAGAAATAAAGCTCCTTAAAACTATGAAGTAGGACACAGTAGTTTCTTTAGGGACACTTGAAGAAGGTAATTGTATTCTATTTAATTAGCTTACTCTCCTAGACCTAACAGACTATATCCATAACAAGTACATTTTGTCTAACTTGCAAAAAAGTGCATTAACAAAAATTCACTGAACATTTGATGTGAAACTATCAATCCTTAAGAGATGGCAATTTTTATAATGTTGTTCACTTTTATTAAACAGGTCCTAATCCTGAAATTCAGGTACTACGCACTCACCTGCAGCTGAACATGAAAAACAAAAATAAAACCCAAGTGCTTCCTATTCCCACTATGGGCTGAAAATGGGACAGTGTGCATATTTCAAGTCTCTCAAACACAAAGCCGTATTCACTCAAGGGAAATCATTTACATGTGGTTAAGGAAACAGGAAATTTTCACATTGGCTTTAATATTTACATTTTACCAAAATTTTCCTGAACTCAGTAATCATTACTAACACTTTTTATAGTATTATTTACTGCATCTTAAAAATAAAAACTAAGCAGAAAGCGTACAGTTGAAGAAAACTGGATGTCAGTCTATACAATGATTTACTTTTGGCATGACAGACTTTATTTTGGCACTTTCACAAATATTTTGCTTTACAGCAGTGACAAAATATTTGCCAGAAATTTTTCTTTTCCTGGCACGGATATTCCAAGCAGTTGTTATTCTATGAATTGAATTTCACTCTGCTTTGCACAGTTAGAGGTATAACCGTTCCTACCCTCTGTAATTGAGGGACACTGCGTGGCTTTAGAAAGCACTGTTTCCTTTTAGTCACTCTGAAGTGAATTGATTCTGTACATGATGGGGCAGGAATTTGAGAATTAATTAAGGCCATTAAGGATTTAAGTAAACACTGTTCCAAGTGTTGCTTAAAAAATGTTTCTAATGAATTCTGTGGCAATTCCAGGGAATGCTCTCAAAATGAAGTATTCATACTTTATTAAAAGTAAATTGTATGTTGGAAAAGTTGCTTTTTTTTGCTGTCTTCCTACTTGGACGGCTCACAGTTTAAAACAAAATTAATGGTAAAATAGAAAAAGGAAATGTTTAGTACAGAAAGTACCAGCCAGGGTACCCTCATACCTCCATCTCCTCCCCCAGGCATCACTCTTTCCAGCCACTCAATCCTAAAGCAGTGAGGCCCTCATTTTAACACACAGAGCCTCCTTGCCTACCCTCCTTCCCTGTAACGTGAGCTATTGTAGTCCATTTATTAGTTCTTCGGTTAAGCTTCAGTAGACACTTGAAGCACAGTTGCAAAGGTAAATCAATTTATAGGCCTAAGCCTTAGATACCAACATCAGGAAAGCCCCCTTCAGATCTTTGGAATTTAGAGTCTTAGAAGTTATTTGCAAAAGCAGGCGTCTGTCTTAATATTGCCATCAGCTATTCAATAAAGGTTGCAAACTTCGAAATTCCCTGGCAGCCTTCCAATATCTCTACCTAGACACACACAGGATAATACATTCAGATTTCCTCTGGCCAATTCAGTAATAAACAGTCTCATCGACAGGCTCTTTGGTCTTGATTTACAGACACTGTGGAACACTTAGCAATCAAACCCACGTCATCCTTGAGAGCAGACGGCCGTTAGCAAAGGGGAGATGTACATTTGATCAAAAATGTACACAATTTATAACAGTGACATTTTCAATATTAGGCCACATGATTTATTCAGTAGTTTTTATGTTCCCAAATTACAATTTATGTCTATTCATAAGACTACAAAAGTTACCATTAGAATTGTCTGTGCTTATAAAATACCAACTTTTTTTTAAACTGTTATATATACTCATTAACACCAGTCTGCAACAAGTTACATAGAATCAGAGGCACTTCAAAGGCTTAAAAAGACGTTTACAACTTAAATGCATTTTTAAGAACAAAAACTTATTTTTCTTTAAACCTCTACTCGTACCTTCAAATTGCAAGAAATTAACAAATACAGTGGCCAAAGGAATCTGCAGCAACTTCTTAAAATACTGTTAGCATCTTTGGGTTTGCTGAGGCTTGTCAGTAACTTACATCAAATCCTCCCAAAAGAAGATATGATTAGATAGATATGACTAAACAGTTTTGTAGTAATAATCCAATTTTACACATTAATTTGCTGTTGCAAATCTGCCCAAAGCTACAGGTAATGAAAAATAAAGCAAGTGTAAAATGGATAGTCTGACACTTAAAAATTTATACAAAGTGGAAGTTAAAGTTTACATATTTGAAAATCACATATACACTAAATTACCATTATCTGAATTTTCCAAAGACAAATTGCACCATGACAGCTACAAAAGGCATAGGGTTTGGTTTTAAGGGCACAAGAAGGGAGGGCAGAGGAGAGGAGGGCGACAACAGATAAATTAACAAAGAAAGACCAACTTGGTAAGGTCAATCTGAGACATGCTGACACAAATGAAACAGCTTTCATCTTTGAGTCATAGGAAAAAGACAATCATTTTGTATTTGCGCATAAAAGTTTAAACCAATTCCATGAACATCGAGAGTTTTCATAACATAATATTTTGCCACTGCTATTCACAGAACACTGCAGATGTTAAATTTTAATTTTATGTTGTTCTAAAGAAATACATGAAATGTTTTAAATACAATGGGATTTTATCATTAAAGTGCCAGAATGGCTCTTTAATGAAAAAAACAAAAAACAAAGATCTTCATTATTCTATGCAAAAGCTTTATTTTGAAAAGTTCAGTGATCTCATAAATAGAGACACTAAGTTGGAGTTTTATGCATAAAACTCCTTAGTAGGTGCCTTCTGATAAGCAGCACTGGATGGTTTGCGTTCTCCAAGGTCATAGCTTCCTTCATCCTTCTTTCTCATGCGATACACCAACAGCAGGATAAGAAAAATTGCAAAGAGAAAGCCAATAACTCCACCAGCAATGACAGCTGAAACAATCAAAAGGAAGATGACTTTAGAAGAGATTCAAGGGTTGCAGACATTAGCTTTATTGTCAAGCCCAATCTACTTACACTTTTCTAAAAGGTTTACTTTGAAAACCCCAATAAAAGAAAAAAAACTGGATTCAATGAAGCAACCTGGTAACTATGCAAATCTCAAACTCCTCAGGAAGGTACAGTAATTTCTTTGGTTAGTGTTAACAATACCACCCAAAAACCTCAATAAGAAAAAGCTGGCCTTGTCTTAACTCATTCCATACTTGAAAACTACTTTTGTCTTTTCAGAACTCACATTTCATATTCTAATTTTCTAATTGCTTTTTTCCACACAAAACATAGTGTAATTGACTTAAAATTTTAAAGAGTATATATGAAAAAAGCATGCAAATTTATTTCTATTCTTGGACTTGAGACTATCAAGTGTTCCTAAATCTTGAAAATTTTCCCCTTTAAAATATGTGCACTTCCATCCAATTAAGTTAAAATAGAAATAACGTTCTTAACACCTTGAGCAGTACATATGTGAACTGCCTTCCCCCTAAAGAACTTTTCCTTCTCTTTATTTTGAAATGTGGAACGCCTTCGAGCAAGACTGATGGATCTTCACACTCTGCCATCTCTCTACATCCAGTTGTTCTGGAACAATTCGGATGTTAACTTTCCCTCTTTTAGGCTACCTCCCATCCCCTGCACGATGGCTGGTGAAGGGGTAGGTTGAGGGAGCTGGTGGACAATAAAGACAATGTTTGCTGAGCCTCTTGCTTCTCGCTGTAGAAGCAAGCATCCGCAAGACTGCTTTCAGCAGAAAGGTGACAGCAAGCTTTGCTGCACTTCTGAACATCACTTAGACTAACAGAAGCCTATACAGGCACCCTCCCACCTGACACCCACCAGGATACTCACCTGCTAGGACTTCTGTCCGTTTAAACAGACTGTCTGAGTGTTTCTCAGTATACACATTTGTATCCTCTTCAGATGGGTCTATTTTCCTTTCTGAGTCAGAGAGGTGAACTTTCTCTTTATCAGTTTCTTCAGGTGACTGGTATGGGAAACAGGGAAAGATTACATTGATTTAAGAAAATGTGCTGGAAGGAAGAAATAATGAGTATACTCCAAAATTCCTTTTTTTTTCCCCCAAAGAATGAGTTTAGGAAATAGTTGGAATAATCACTTGTGTGATGTTTATAGCCATGGGTGAGTGTCATGATGGACCCATGTAGTTCATGGTTTTGCGTAACACCCATCGCATGATCAGGCAAGTCAGAGAGCTAGTGAGTTCATAATAATGCTAAGGACATGGTGAGGTTGTTTTAGTGGACATTTCCTAAGATCTCTACTTTCTCACCACTCTTCTAACTTTGGGTCACCATCTCCCTCCGACTGCTCTAACCCAACAGCACTGCCCCAGTTCTCCTTACTCCTTCACTTCTCAACTACACAGGGCACGATGACAACAGCTCCCTTTCAGATATTCTCTCACGCCTGACTGGGCTTTTCCTGTCCCCACTCTGAAGGGAGCAACCCCCAAGCCTTACTCCTAATGCTTCCCCCTAGTCATATCACCTTCAGCAAACCCTGGACCAGGACTTCCGGGGACTTGGGTTGTGCAAGTAGCTCCTCCCTGATCATATCATACTTCTTTTCTCCACCTGGATTTCCTCACCTGTCTAGTGAACGACACTCACAGGGTCTCAGACACTGCACAATGCTCAAGTAGAAATCTATGGGAATACCTCTCACAGCCGCCATCTCTAGTCAGCATTATTCCCAAGAAGTCAGCAGCCTGCAGGACATTAACTGTTGGCTGTACCACCTTTAACTCTACTCGTCAAGTCTAAATAGTAATTAATTCACTGCTGAATTGGATCAGCCTCCTTTTCTATTCCCATTAATGGCGCTGTATTTTGAGGTGTTCCCAAGTTATCTATTTCGACGCATTTCTTATCATATGTTATCCATGTCACAGCACTGTCAATTTGCCTCCATCTTGCTCTCACAGTAACTTCTTCCCTTGGGGTCTCATTTCCACAGCTTTGTTAAGGTGGCCAGCACATCACACCTCAGCTCCCATCCTGCTTCGACCTCAGAACTGCACGTGTTGGGTAGCTTCCAGTCCTCACCCAATCTACCACTTACTCCCAGTAGAAAACCTGTGAGGCCATTTCCACCACCTCTTCATCATCAAAAATGATTCTTAACATCTGTGCTGTAGTTCAGTGGTCCCCAATCTTTCTATGAAAAAAATACAGGCTTCCTACCAGAGGTTCCATTTCAATTGGTCTGACTTCAGGTCACCATCTCCCTCTGACTGCTCCAATCCAACAGCACTGTCCCAATTCTTACTCCTTCACTTCTGAGCTGTACAGGGCACTATGTAGCTGGCACTGATTTTTATTGCTATTTAAGTTCTCCAGACAATTCTATAGTTTGAGAACCAGTGGGTTAGAGAAGTCCCATTCAAAGGAGTTGTTCATTCTCTAACAGTCTGAAGTTCTTGTTGGCCAACATCACTGATGAAAACACTGTCAACTTCATTGAGGTTTAAAGACTAAATGTGGCTGGGTAGAGAGCCCGAGGTGAGAGGATCATTTGAGACCAACCTGGGCAACATGCTCAGACCTCATCTCTACAAAAACATTTTTTAAATTAGCCAGGCATGGTGCTGTGTACCTGTGGAGGATCTCTTGATCCCAGGAGTTGGAGGCTGGGGTGAGCTATAATTGTGCCACAGCAATCTAGCCTGAGTGACAGAGTGAGACCCTGTCTCAAAAAAAAAAAAAAAAAAAAGACTTCAGACAATAATTCTCAGCTCTACTACTCTTCATAAGTTCCTGAGAGCTTCCTACCATCTTCATTAGGATCCACAGGGTCTAACATACCATGGCTCAGCAAAGCAACTGATTGCTTTCTGAAGGCTGGAGTTCATCCAAAATGGCGGCCTGCTAGTTAAGTCTAGAGGCTTAAAGAGTGTAAGAAGAAAAGACCTCACCTTCTTGGGCTGTGCAAGTAGCTCCTGTGGGACCCTGACGACATCATACTTCTTTTCTGCACCTTAAGGCCACCCCCATTGCTAGGAAGGACCATAAGCTACACCAGGTAGATTCATTTGTACTCTAGGGTATGTAAGATCAGTAGGTCCCTGTCTCAGTGAGCAGAAAGCTAGGCTTCCACTGAAGGTGGTATGTAATAAAGTACAATAAAGAGTAATTGTCATTCTCAAGTTGCAAGAAACTCTGTACTATCTAAACCTCAACCTGCTATGCTTTACAAAAAGCAGAGGCCATAGAAAAATGTTCATTGCACTGGTGCACAATATGCACTGAAAAGGTCACGGTCCTCTCTATTACTATGAGAGAAGAAGATATGATAGGCCTTCCCAGGCCTTCGGGTACCAAAGTAAAGCAGAAGAGAGCAGCTCATTGGCAGTATTTTTCCTGATTTTTTTCTATTCTTCTCATGAAAAGCCCATCATTAATTGGCTGCCTGGTGGAAGGACGGACAACAGATCAGAGAATGGATTATCTGGGTTCTAGTCTAGAAACCTTTTCACTGCTCATTAGTACTGCTTTACTATCACAGGTTAGAAAAGGGAAGAGAAATCTCAAATAGGTGAATACTCAGGTTTGTGACTAAGGAGAGAGGTAAACAAGTTCTGGTGAGAAATGAAATGGACATAAGCAGTGACTGTAATATGAGAGTCTGAGTTTAATTTATCCATATCCACATCATCTTTGTTTCATTGTTATTACAAATCATATGGTTTCACCATGGGATTTTTTGGTCCCTAAAGTCATTTAAGAGAGTTGATCTTTTCAGTTTCCTCTGACTCAGCTTCTGATCCGGCAGGTTGAACAAAGCGTGCAATCCAGGGATCTGAGAGTATGGGGACTGAAGGACTCCACATAACTGGAGCCGCCCTGCAGCTGGAGGTGCACAAGCCTCAAGCGACTCTGGGTGGAAATTTCATTTTTCAAGTCAAAATGTTTTATCATATGGAAGCAGAGGCTTGACTAAGAAGAAACCATTTTGTAATATGGAACTAATCTGAAATACCTTAACTCTTGTATGAATATATGTGCAAAATCAATCTGCAAAAAGGCAGCAGGGATGATTAAATGAGGCCAAGTAAAGATCTGCCACATCCATGTCTGGTTGTTTGGATGCCATGGAAATGCAACAGAAGTAAAAGCTTGTGAGTGATGCTCTGCTCAAACAAATAATGAGATGCCTTTTTTTGCATTTTAGTCACTTAAATTTATAACAAACTAGAGAGGATATCTGTAACAGTGACATTAATGCCACTGTGAGACCGATTCAAAAGCAAAATCTACACTAATGGTATCCTAGAGGCAATGTTCAATTCGGCTGTACCACATAAAGACCAAAATGAAAAATTTAATCATTATTATTCATGTTATTCATGATCAATATTATCATTATCAGTGCTGCGAACAGTGTTTGACACATAATGAATAGCACTCAATAAATCTCCCATAAATGGATGAATTTTTATTATTACTACATAGAACACAAATGATAATAAGAATATAAAAGTATTAAAATAGTTTGGGCTCCTTAATTTTTAAGTTCCCCTGCCAAAGTTCTATATTTTTTATCTCGATCTGATGCAATTACTTCCTTAAAACCAATTTTTAAAAACTTAAATTAGTGGTCAATTCATTCTTGTTAACAAACCAGAACTCTATGTCAAATTAAGTCTTGCTTAGGATACAACTCTCTATCACTACAAGCCAAAACTCACCCAGGAGAGTTTCTTCCCTCAAGCTAGTGAGTCCTAATTGTCTCTGACTTCAACAGATTTAGTCAAGAGAAGTGGTCAAATAAAAATGTGGTAAGAGCCAAATGCATATTTAGTAGATAGCAGATAACTGTGCCACACACACTCTGAGGCATTCAGTCATCCTACCACCAACTGCACCTACACTTTTCATTTCTCCCTTTCTTTTTTTGTTTCATTCACTCAACTATACATTGATACAGTAGCTTCTATGCAGGGATCCAGCATATGCCAGGTGAGTCGCTCTCAGTTCCCACAGGGCTCTGTCCCTGCCTTCCTACCGCCTGGCCTGTGAAGTCTACCACTAACAGTAATTGACTCTTCTTGGTCCTACAGAGAGCACTTCAATTTGGACAGGGCTGGCTTCCTGGCTGTTCCACATTTGTGGAAACCCGTCCAGCTGTGCCATTCACCATTCCAGTCACATGCACTGGGAGGATGGAGGAAGAGGAGGAAGAACAAAGGTAATTGGGCAAGGGTAAGAAAAGCCCACATGCATTCCTGCCTGAAGAGGGGATAATTCTTACTCTAAGGAAGGCCTGTCGCCACCTTCATCAAACAGCCTTCCATATCCATATCCTGTCTGCTGCTAAAGCTTGGCAGCATCTCATTTCTAATCAACAGATGGGTGAGCTCCAAAAGGGGATGCTTGTGCTTCTGAGTTTTCATAAGCCGTATGTTACCCCTGCACTGACTGCGAAGTCTACCACTACAGTTATTACACATGCTCATTTGGTGAACTGGCTTGGTCTCTTCTGCTCCACCAAATTCAGTTAATGCTTACAGAATGGTGACTATGTCTCAGGTGCCATGCTACCTGCACTCGCATTTCATCTTCTTCACAGCCCATAGGAAATGGGTTCAGAAGCTAAGAAACGTGACTGGACCCAGGATTTGAAACGTAGGTCTTTGCCAGACTTTAATATGCATGTTCTAACTTCAGTGGGTTACCTATTAGTGGATGGTCAGCTAACTACAATATTAACGAGGTCAAAATCACAAGCTCCAAGTTTTCATTAGCTGGTCACTTTACTCAGGTCTAACGCCAAAGTTCTTATTCTGAATAAGTCAGTTCTCAAAATGAATATATACAGATGTACCCAGGTTCATCAACATCAAGAGAGGTCAAGGATTACATACTACTGATGACAGGCCTAAGAAGACTGAGAAATGACTTAGTGAGACTAGGATCATCTCAAGATGTGACCTGGAGTCTTCTAATTACGTAACCTACAAACCAAGAAACCAAAGAAACAGGGCTTTACTTCTTAACTGGGCTTCAGATGTTCCTTAAGAAAGAGGGCCATGTGAAAAATAGTTGTATATAATTTGAGCCAGGATGACAGAAATCATACGTGGGTAAATGCCAAAGTGATCAAAAAGCGTAAGGAAGAGCCATTTATAACACCACCATTAAGACCATTTGTCCTTATACAATTTTAAGTGGGGCCTTTTAAAAGAACTGTTGTGTACATAGTTCATGATGGGCAGCTCCAAAAAAGAAGAAAATAATAAAAAAGGGACTGTGTGTACAGTCAGTAAAGTGAAGCATTTATAATAACCTGTTAATGCAATGCAATGGAAAATAGAACACACCTTTGTCTGAGCAGGTATCTTGTTCTGTATATTCAGCGTCGTGGTTTCCACTTTTGGAGCAGCACTAGTGAACGGTATCTTTGGAAGTGGTCGAGATGTTGTCAGCTCTGGACTCTCTACATCCTCATCAGCTCCTGGAAAAGTAAGTGAAGATGTACTGAGCATGGCAAATATGACACAGATGTCTCCATTATCAGGCACTATTGCCTGAGGTTGACACTGACAGAATCACGTTCTTTCAAAATGCTGGCTCCTTAAGACTTCGGCACAAAGCTTCCTGTGGTCTTCACCACGATGCAGAAGTGATTTCAAAGGTGTCTGTGGGTAGCCTAGCAGGTTTTTCCTTAATATTATTATCCTCAACACTCAAGCAGCAGTTCTTTCACTTGCATGTTCCTTCTCTCCCTGCTTGACAAGATTTTTTCCCATCTACACTGAAACATGCTCCAAATATCAATACAACAGGCTGGGCGTGGTGGCTCACGCCTGTCATTTCAGCACTTTGGGAGGCGGAGGAGAGCGGATCACGAGGTCAGGAGATCAAGACCAGCCCAGCCTACATGGTGAAACCCTGTCTCTATTAAAAATTCAAAAATTTAGCTGGGCGTGGTGGCGCACGCCTGTAATCCCAGCTACTCGGGGGGCTGAGGCAGGAGAATCACTTGAACCCGGGAGGCGGAGGTTGCAGTGTGCAGAGGTCACGCCGCTGCATTCCAGCCTGGGGGACAGGGTGAAACTCTGCCTCAAAAGAAAAAAAAAAAAAAACTCACAACAAAACAAAATACAAAACAGGAAAACTCTCCTATGGCTGACTTTTTATTTCATGTGAGTTCCTGCCCACTCTCCTGGGTTTTTGTTTTGTTTTGTTTTTGTTTCTTTTCTTTTTTTTTTTTTTTTTTGAGATGGAGTCTTGCCCTGTTGCCAGGCTCGATAGAGTGCAGTGGCACAATCTCGGCTCACTGCAACCTCTGCCTCCCAGGTTCAAATTGTTTTCCTGCCTCAGCCTCCCGAGTAGCTGGGACTACAGGCACATGCTATCACACTCAGTTAATTTTTTGTATTTTTAGAGAGACAGGGTTTTACCATGTTGGCCAGGATGGTCTTGATCTCTTGACCTTGTGATTCACCCGCTTCAACCTCCCAAAGTTCTGGGATTACAGGCGTAAGCCACCGTGCCTGGCTCTCTCCTGGTTTCACAGGCAGATTTTTTCCAACGGGGGTGGATACTCACTAGCTCTCGTCCTCACCATCTTCTCCACTCTGCATTCTACTCCCTCCAGGAGCATTTTCCCTGTCATCACTATTAATACTGTTTTGTTAAGGTCACCAGTATCCACAGCACCCAATGGCACTTCTCAGACTTGCCTTCCTCTAGTAGAACTTCCTAGCACTACTGCACACTGTCAGGTGCCATCTGCTTCCTGACGAACCCTATTTCTTTGGGTTCCTACGAGTTCCTGGCTTCCTCCTTCAGCTCTCTGGCTATTCTAAGTCTCCTTTGCCAGTTTATCCTCCTCTACCTGGACATCAAATATCAAAGAGTATCTGAAGGGCTGTCCCTAGGCCTCTTCTTACTCTATACTTTCTCCCTCATCCATGTCCACAATGTCAATAAACGTCAATAAATGAGCTAAGCACAGATGATACCTAAATTTACATCATCGGCTTTTACCACCCCTCTCAAAGTCAGACTCATACCCAGTGGCCTTCCTGGCATTTTCACTTGAATGACTCAAAGGTACAACACACCTCTGAACATGTCCACATCAGAACTTATGGTCCCTATGTCTTCTCCCCATGTGACCTTGTGGTGACTGAAACCCTCTGTTCCTACACACCAAAACTCTGACTTCCTCTTCCTCACCTTGTTTTTGAATCCATTACCCAGTCCTATCAATCTTATCTTCTTATCATCCCTCCACTCTTAACACCTTTCTACAGTTCCAGGGCCACCACTGCAATCCAAGCCACTATGACCTTTCCATGAACCGCTGTACCTGCCTTCTCCCTAATAGGCCCGAGTGCCTAACACAGTGTCTAAGACATAACGAGCTCTGATCTGGTATTTGTTCAACAAGTGACTTTCTACCTACCTGAGCATGATTTTTGTTTGTTGTTGTTGCCTTTTCACTAGAATAGCATTTGAGAATTTCTGACATTCAAATACAAATTCCTTTCAAGTGGATCATTTGTCAAATTTGTAACAACTCAAGCGAACTCCAACTCTGTAACCCAAACTAACCAGGCTTCCTCAAACAATGAATGACAAATACCTCTAAATTCCTCAAACAAAAGAAAATGGGTATTTTCCACAGAATCATATCAATGCAATAAGCAGGTGGGAAAACAACAGGTAACATGCTGAAAACACGTGCGATGGCTATGGTTCATTTCTTTCATTTTCTTTTCTTGCTCTGTCACCCAGGCCAGAGTGCAGGGGTGCGATCATGGCTCACTGTGGCTTCAAACTTGCGGGCTCAAGCAATGCTCTCACCTCAGCCTCCTGAGTAGCTGGAACCAAATATATGTGCCACTGTGCCCAGCTAATATTAAAAAAAAATTATTACTTTTTTTTTTTTTTGTAGAGACGGGGTCTCAACTATGTTGCCAGGTTGGTCTCGAGCTCCTGAGCTCAAGGGATCCTCCTGCCTGGGTCTCCCAAAGTGTTGAGATTTTAGGTATGAGGCACTGTGCCTGGCTCCTGGCTGGTTCATTTCTTAATTAATCAACTGTCTCCTTTAATTTCAAAACACATATATTCATTACCATACAGAAGAAATGGCAGGGCATGTTGGTATAAATACAGGGTTTGGTATTAAAAAAGCAAACAAACCTAGTACTGGTTCTGGCATTTATTAGCTCTGTACTCTTAGGCAAGTAATACTTGAGTCTTGGTTTCTTCATCTGTAAAATGGGGCTAATAATAACTAACCCACAAAGGTACATGTATGTCACAAATACATATCTCACAGACACGATACATATTTAAAGCATTCTACATAAACTGTTATGTAAATAGAGGTCATTAATAATGATGGATCCAGAAATATAAGGCTGTTTTGTCAGCTGACCTAATTATCTATCAACATTTTATATATAGTATGCTTAATTCATTCCTATAATGAATCATTTTCTTACAAAGAATAAAACGTCAATGAGAAATGAAAAATTTCAATATAGGGCTTTTAAAGACCCCCTTGTTTCACAGGAATTACCAAGATGAGTCATCAATATAGAAGTGGGATGAATCTGTATGAGGGAAGAGATTTGTAAAATAGTAAATCCCCCTTAAGCTGGCACTTTCAAAGTTAGAGACAGGGCCAGGCACAGTGACTCACGCCTGTAATCCCAGCACTTTGGGAGGCCGAGGCCAGCAGATCATGAGGTCAGGAGATTGAGACCATCCTGGCTAACACGGTGAAACCCCATCTCTACTAAAAATACAAAGAATTAGCCAAGTGTGGTGGCAGGCACATGTAGTCCCAGCTATGGGAGGCTGAGGCAGGATAATTGCTTGAACCTGGGAGGAGGAGGCTGCAGTGAGCTGGGATCCTACCACCGCACTCCAGCCTGGGAGACAGAGTGAGGCTCTGTCTCAAAAAAAATAAAAGGTAGAGACAGATGGGCAATCTGTCTCAGATGGCTCTTCTGCTTTCAGTATCTTTATTAAAAACATTAACTCTTTTGTCTGAACCAGAAATCTGGGAGCCCCACTGAATACCTCCTCCTTCAGGTCCCACTGTTCTCCCTGTCTGAAGTAGACTACTCCAAGGCCTATTTCCACCTGGGAAACTCCAGATCACACTATCAAGTACAGCATCAATATCACCCCGTCTCTGAAGCCTTCCTTGATCTCTCCATCAGGGCACTGTTTCTGTCTCTATGTTCCTATGCTCACTCTCTTATTTTTTGTGTATGTGTGTTATTTTTTATTTATTTTGAGAAGGAATTTCGCTCTTATCGTGCAATGGAGTGCAATGGCGCAATCACAGCTAACTACAACCTCCGCCTCCTGGGTTCAAGTGATTCTCCTGACTCAGCCTCCCAAGTAGCTGGGATTATAGGCATGTGCCACCACGCCTGGCTGATTTTTGTATATTTAGTAGAGATGGGGTTTCGCAATGTCAGGCTGGTCTCGAACTCCTGACCTCAAGTGATCCACCCACCTCAGCCTCCCAAAGTGCTAGGATTACAGGTGTGACCCACCACACCCAGCCTTATTTTCTCTTTTAAAACAACATTTTCTTTTACTTATGGTATGAATATGTCTCCCCAAAATCCATGTGTTAAAACCTAATCTCCAATGCAACAGTATTAAGAAGAGGGACTTCAGGAGGTGAGCAGGTCATGGCGGCAGGGCCCTCATGGAATGGAATTAGTGCCCTTTTGAAAGAGGCTTGAGGGACACTGTCCCCTTTGCCACGTGAGAACGCAGCAAAAAGGCACCACCTAAAAAGTAGGGAGAAAGCCCTCGCCAGACACCAAATCTGCTGTGCCTTGGTCTTTGACTTCCCAGCCTCCAGAACTGAGACCAATAAATTTATAAATTACTCAAAGTATTTTGCTATAGCAACCTGAATGGACTAAGACAACTTATAAAAATAATACTTTTTCAAATACATTTGCAAGTATGAATTTGGAAACACAGAAATACATAAAGGAATAAATACAATTATCCTATCACCAGAGAAAACATTGTTAGATTTTATTTACTGAAGTGTCCCTAGAACCTAGAATGGTACCTGTTCCCCCATGTACTGAGTGATTAAGAAATACTTCCTCAATGAATGAATACCCTCTGTGTCTTCTCAACTTCTAAATGAGCTTTTCATTTTTGACATGACAGTCCCACACTCTAAGAACTCTCAGAACGTTCCTGTTTTATAGTATCCTGTTTTGGGGCCATTGTTTGAACATCTGCTTTTCTCTCTGAATTTACTGTTTTTCTGTAAATTTTCTTCTTCCTGGAAGTGGCTGTCCTCTCCCAATTTGGGGGTTTCTCTTCCTCTCATGCTACAAGTTTTTCCTATATGTCTCGGGAGCCTTGGTTGCCTTTTTATACTGAAGAGGCAAACACTGAAAAGCGGACTAGAAGCTTTGAGCACACAGGAGAGGCGTGTCAAATGTGGGCATCATCCCCTTGACTGAAATTTTTTCACTTCTCATTGCAGTTTTATTCTTTGTAGTATAGAGCTGTATGTTTCACTGGAGAGCTCCCAGGCCACTCTCTTTGAATTGGTCCAGCTTCCCAGAGGGGAGCCCCTCAGTCCCTTACCCAGAGGGTAAAAGGACAGACTGCCAGTGTTCTGGAAACTGACTGGGAGAAGACAAGACAACTGGGGATCACACCACATTAAATTATTCTTAATCTAAGAACTTATTCTCTCTGTTTTACATAAGGTACCCCCAGCCCCATCTGTTCCTGAAATACCCCCGGGTCCTGTTTTATCCTCTCCAGATAATGAATCCCCAGGTTTCCCTCTGAGGTCAGGGAACATGAGCCCCATGTGACAGAGGAAAAGAATCAGGGGATCTACTTGCTTCTTAGACTTCCAGCCAATCATCTGAGTTGAACACTACTCTCACCCTCCACTGAATGCCACCGATTCCTAGATCCCAAGAGAGTCTGCTGTGTTAACTGGGTTGCGTCTTAGCTCTCCCCACTGCTAACGAACTCAGCCTTCTGAAGCCTGCCAAGTCTGTCCCCACTAGCTCATCTTCTTCCCAGCTTTCAAAACTTCATGGCTCTTGTTCCCTTTACTGTTTTGTTTGTCCTTATCAATTCACGCCCAATTCTTTTCTGTCAATTTAGTTGCATACTGACAGGTAGTAGTGTTCAATCTGCCATCTTTAACCAAAGGTCTATATTTTAACTCTTACATTTTTGTTATACAGCCCTTTCCTATATTATGTCACCCCTCACCGGGTATCACAATGATTATTTCTCATGTTTGTATTTCTTTCCTTAGACTCTTGGTCCCCTACGGACAGAGACCAAGTCTTTCTTATCTCTGTGCCCCAAGAGCATGGCACAGCGTGTGGCACACAGCAAATGCCTATGAAGGGTTTCCTGTTTGCTAATGCCCATACTTGAGCCCACATATAGAACGTAGTCCTATCTCCTTGCCCAGGAAGTCCCCTCTGAGCCTTCAGTCATCTCTTCCAATCCACTTGCTTTTCTACCGGATGGTTGGATGGGAGAAGGGATAGATGGTACACTGGCCAAACCCCGGGGTATTTTTAAGCTGGAACCGGATAATTCTAAAAGGGGTTTATGACACAAGGAGGTAGCACAGCAAAGGAATGAAAGAAAACACATTCTCACGCCCAACTCCCTCACTGTCTCACTATCCCGGCTCCATTACCTTCTAACAGTGTGACCTGAGGCAAGTGAATCTCTCTGTGCCTCAGGTTTTCTTGTGGGAATAATGGAAATACTAATAGAATCTATCCTTTCAGAGATGTTATAGGGGTTAGAGCAGTTCCTGACACACAGTTAAGAGCCTCACAAGTTTTAGTTACAAGTACTGCTGCTTCATGCTGAAAAACACCACTCCCAGTTCAGTGTAATGTGGTTTCCAAAGTTAAGAGCGAAGCTCTTTCATTTCTTCACAGCAGTGATCTGCCTAAGGCTAGGGCCACAGCACAAGCAGTGTGGGCCCATGTTTAAGCCTCAGCTTGATCTAACTCATCAGTGGGTTCAGGATTTCAAAAGACCCACCCTAACTCTCTTTTACCTGGATGGGGCTGGGGGTCTGTAGAGGTTGGCAAAGTTATTTTGTTGATTTACGAAGACTGTCCTTAAGTTTAATTTAAAGAAAATTTACTTTAAGCATACTGTTTTCTTTAAATTAAACTTAAGGTCAACCTTAGCGAATCAGCAAAATGACTTCACCAACCTGTACACCCACCTAACAACTCTTGGATTCTAAGATCTGTGAAGTAGGAACAAAAAAGGTCCATAGTTATTATTTCCTGGGACATATTGAAGATGACAGTTACAAAGCACTTTTAAGGTGCTAAAAAAAAGAGGTGCCATGAGTGAAAGGTATTTATAGAGTTGTGGGCTATGAAGAACAACTCTTTTCACACTCATTCTGCGTGTGTGATATATATCACTCTCCCAAGAAAAACTAGAGTTATTTTTACATTAAGATTGCATTGTAAGCTCATTGTTACTAGGTCAGCAACCACCTCTCTTGTCTTTCTCAGACTTTCTGCTTTTCAACTTAAAACATTCACTCTTACATGGCTAGATTTCTACCAAAGACGCAACTCATTTTAATTTGTTCTGGGTAGCCCAGCTCAATCTGATCGCAAAAGTTATACTGAACACAGATGTCTAACCATCTGTTGAATCTGTTATAAAAACCCTAAAGCAAAAAAGGTCTGGATAAGTCTTGCCTACCATGCTGCTGACCACAAATTTCTGACTTGACTATTAATTAAGTATGTGGAAAGCTCTTCCTTTTGTTGAGCTTCTTGGGGGTTGATAGGACTTTGCTGTGTCCCCACCCAAATCTCATCTTAAACTGTAGTTCCCATAATCCCCCCATGTTATTGGAGGGAGCTGGTGGGAGATCACTGACTCATGGGAGCAGTTACCCTCATGCTGTTCTCATGACAGTGAGTTCTCACTACATCTGATGGTTTCATAAGGGGCTTATCCCCTCTTCACTCATACTACTACTCCCTGCTGCCACCATGTGAAGATGTACATGTTTGTTTCCCCTTCTGTCATGACTGTAAGTTTCCTGAGACCTCCCCAGGCAGGCTGAACTATGAGTCAATTAAATCTCTTCTCTTTTATAAATTACCCAGTCCCTGTGTTGTTAGCAGGGTGAGAATGAACTCATACAGGGGCCATACCGAGAACAGGCGAAACATTCATTGATTATGGTAGATTGCAAACGTGACCAGAATCCCTTAATCCTCCTTGTGCATAAATATCCCCTGCAAATGTGACTTTATGAATCCTTTTACTAAGAGGTAGAGTCTGCCTTCTGACTTGCTTCAACCAGTAAAATGTAGTAAAAGTGATGCTAGGCCAAGTTCTAAGGCCTGGCTGCAAGAGGCTTTGCACACTTCTACTTGCTGTTCCTGTGAAAAAATGGCTTGCCTACTAGAGAATGAGAGACCACACAAACTCGACCCAAGTCTGCTCAGCTGCCCCAGAGATATGAGTACCCAAAAGCTGCAAACCTAATCTAAAGCTGTACACTCAACCGGCAGCTGACCACTGACATGTGAGGGAGCCCAGCCCGCCCAGCCTACATCACCAACCTACAGAATAATGAGTTAAATGAATGACTGTTATTTTAAGCCACCAAGTTTTGGGGTGGTTTATTATATAGCCCTAGAGTAGTAATAGATTACTATGAATAATATTCTAAGGAATCTGAGGATGTCAGTACATAATCATTTTACTTGACTGCTGCATTTTCCTCCTCCAATACCCTAGGAATAAAAAAGTGTAACTCTTGGTCTCATCTACAATTTTTAACATAGGGTAGGTGGGTTTATGAAACCAGTGTTTGAGAGATTTCTTGAAGGGTGGTTTCCATGACGTCACTCTGAAAGTCTGAATAATAAGATTAAAAGCTAATGTTGACAGAGCACTATGTGCCAAGCCCCCAAATCTTAAGAGCTTTAGATGTGTCAACTCCCTTTTAATCCTCACAATTCTATGGTAAGGACCATTGTTACTTTCCATTTTGTAAAGGAGGAAACTGAGGCTCAGCAAATAAATTCTCAAGATCTCACAGCGTAAGTGGCAGAGAGAGCTAGAATTAGCATCCTTTGATTCCAAAGACCATGCCCTTAACCACTGTGCATCCCGCCTGTCTCCTTGAAGTAAGCGCAGTAAAATGTGTGTGCGTGCATGCCTGGAGAATGAGGTCCGGTGTTTAGAAGCAGCCACCTTACCCGAGCCAGATGCAGAAGCATAGTCGTCGTCATCAATAGGATACACTCCTGAAGCTTCTTCAATGGAGCTGTTGTCAAGGTACATGTCTTTATCGGATGTCAGCTCTGCTCTCTGAGAAAGGAAAGATAAGGGAGTCAGGATGGTGAGAGATTAAGAAACACACTTGTATATTTGATTGTTCAGGTACATACTGCAGTGACTACCCCCTCCCACTCCCATGGTCCTCTGAATCCACATCTCTGGCCACAGTTTTCCTCAGGCACCCTGACAACTTACAGCAATTCGAGGGGTAAGCACGGATTAATGCCTGCAAGGCAAACCTACACAGCTTAAACCAGTAGAATGAAAACAGTTCAGAGATCTAAACTCCTATCTTGGGTTTATTTTGTTGTATTCCACAAAACTTACCTGACTTTCAGCCATCCCAATGCTAGTTATAAGTCATCTTGGGCATTCTCTGTCACTCCCTTACTGGAAAGGGAACGAAACACTTAGGACCTTCTTGGGGATGTATGCAAAGGTATTACGGCTTAGCTTAGGCTAAATAATCACCCAGGGATCCATCAAATCTACCAGTGCTTGCAGGCCTGGCAATGCTCAGAACTTCACCGCTACAGATGAGAGATCCCCAGTCACACGGGTCCTCGGGCCATGCAGGCCTTTCTACCTCAGCCCAGACCTGTGCTGAGGCCAGGCACAGTGCCCGGGGAGGAGCAGCGCCTGGGAGGCTCACCCGACAGGGAGAAAGCCCACTGCACGCCTGCTTCTAGGGCTCATTGGCTTAGCACAGCCTTAATGACAAATACAGATAAACCCACACGAGCACATTCTTTTTCTGTTACTGGCAACTGGTAATAGCAAATCACACGCTTAATATGGAGAGGGATCAGTCACTAAGTATACCAGTTCCACAGCTTCTTAACTCTTCAGTAAGAGTTTAGTATTAAAATTCAACCTAATCCTGCCAAAAGAAGACATTGCATGAACTGGAGACAGAGTAGAGGTATAAGATTTAAAAAATGGTTTTAGTAAATTGGTATTTTACTACCATTATCTCACAAAAGCCCAGAAAAAAAATAATAAAGCAGACAGGCAGCTTTTAAACAACTCTTGTTTGGAAACAGGCAACATTCATTATTGTTGCATTTTTAAAAATCATATAGAATGTTTGTTCTTAACAGAAATTATAAAATAATGTTTCCCTTACTACATTGGCTTTCATCACATTTAATCTTAAAACTTTCTCTTCTAGCAGTCCCCATGATTGGAACCTTCTTAAGAGGACAGGTCCAGCCCTCTGTAACAGTACCACTTTATTTTCTCAGGTTTCAGCGGTTGGCTAGCAAGGCTAAAGTATTTTAAACCTGAGCCCACATTCTCCACCAGGCCTCAGTGCCAACTGACAGCAAAGTATGGGAATCTTTTTTGTTTGAGCTGTCACACTGGTGGATTCTGAGAAATGAAACCTTAGGGACTGGTGTTCTAGTGGCCTGGACCACCCTGAGCCAAGAGTGTGCTGCAACTTTTCTACTAGAATGGTCAGAGCTTAACTCTGCAATCTGACACCACCCTGTGTTACACTGGTTTCCAAGGCTATCACCATTCCAGATTGCAATTCCCAAAGCTTGTGAACTGTGTCAGGAGCCCTGCGTTCTACAGTTCTATCATCAACTGCCTCTTCTTAGGTTCTCAGCTCCTTTAAAGGCAAGGCTTCCCTCCCCGTCACAGTGCCTGGCATATAGTAGGTGCTCAGTAAACACTGCTTGGGTTGAACTACTTTTTGTGCTCCTGTGAAAAAGCCATTCTTAGTCCTGCTTGTCTTAAACTTTGTCCCATTTACTTCCCCTGGAGAACCTCCTGGTTTCTTCTCTCAAACCCTGTCTACTATGAAACAGGCTGTGACTTCTCCACTCCTTAGACAACTCCTAATTATAAAGTACTATTTTAGGATTTTGTAGCCTATGAACAGTTTGAGACATAAACACTCACTGTTACTTTTCATTGTTTCATGTGTATTTTTCTTGCCCCTCAGCAGAATACAACTCATTGAAGGCAGGTTTTGAATGACCTGTGTGTGTTCTCTGTCCCTCTCAAAATGCATGGACACAAAACAAATATTTGACTGAGATTACTTAAATCAAATTGGCCTTGGACTGAGGTTTCAGAGTTACATGTCACAAGACCTCCAGGATCCCTGTAGTTTAAAATCTCTCCATTTTAAGCCTAGGAGACCATCTGCCCCAAAACTCCCATAGCTTGCATTGCATCTGTGTAAGTAACCTAGAGTCTTAAAAGTAAGCAAAATATTCCCTTTCCGTATTAGAAACTTGCTTCCCTTTTCTTAACATCGAATGACTTTCATTTTCCTCTTGGCTCTGTCAGTGAAGTTTGATGTGGCAAGGAGAATATTGAGATACTTAATCCCTATGTGTAAACTGAATTTCAATTCACTAGACGACCCAGTTGTCTGGACTAACACATCTGTCACGCTACCAGGCAAAGGGGCCAAAAATGCCTCCCAGAGAATTCTAGCCACCTCACCGTTCAACCACACTGGCAGCCTGACAAGCCAACTGACTTCCTGGGACAGCCGTCAGGCCTGTATTTCAACAAGACTTGGGGTGGAAGTCAGGGTGTGTCCAGAGAAGCTGGCTTGCCCTCAGCCACTCAGTGACTTGGGGTCTATAGGGCTCCAGGGTGGTCTCTGGGCTGACCAGATGTTTAATGTGCTTAAAGGCAGCCAAGTGTGTTTCTTCTGTGATCCAGGGTGGTGAAAATAATTCTAACATCAAAGTTCTCTCCCACTCTGATTTCAGGAGCACCAAGAACACAGGAGAAATTACCAATATCTTTCCATAAAGTCCAATTTACTATAAAGTAGGGCCCTTTTCACTCTGCAGCAGATAATGAATACCTCGATTGTCTTTCCCTTTAAAAAATAAAAAAGAAAAACCCCTGTGCTCATGACAAATTCCTTTTATGAAGACTCCACGCTCTGTTCTGAAAGTGTTTCTGGAATATACATGCCTAGGACGGGAAATGATTTATGCACCAATATTCCCTTGGGACAAGAAGATAAGCATCTCCTCAAGGCCATGAAAAGGGGTGATTCAAAACTATCGATTTTATACCTGGCAAAATGTGGTCTGCTTCACTGAGAAGAAAACCTTGGGACATACTCTGTACTCACTCCCTTACTCAATGGGACCCTGACACTGAACAAAAGCAACTGGAAGGAAACGCACAGAAGCACAGAAGTCCAGAGCTGCAGCCTGGCTGTAGGGTGTCATAACGAGGCTGTTTAATTTGGGACTGACCATCGCTGTGAGGCAGTGCCAATACTGTTGGCTAACAGGGTCCAGAGTACGAGCTGGGAGAAAAACAAAGCTGGCCTTTCAGACCTTTCCCTTTTGGCTGATGCAAGATGTGAATACAGGAGAGCAAAGGGAGGCTGTGGAAAGCAACAAGGTACGACCAAGAGGAAAATGTGCAGCAGACAGATAGAGGGTTCTGCGTAATGCCACGTTCAGCCAGGGAAGCTGAAGCACTACACTGCCTCCACAGACGAAATTCCCAGAGGAGAATGCACATCCAACTCAGTTGTGTAAACCCACAATGCCGAGAAGGAAGGCAAGATACATACTTGTCTCCTATCTCCACCCCTTTGCCTCGGGCCCCCACAGCTCCGGCTAACTCATCATGTTGGGCCTGGACCTGGACTAAGGCCTCCTGACCTGGTCACTGCCCACATCTGTGTCTTTGAAGCCATTCTATGCAGAGGGACTTTTCTGGAACTCAAACATCATCATATCACTCTCCTGCCTTTATTGGCTCCCTGCCACATAGAGGATGACATAAAAACTCCTTAGCTGGGCCTGGCACAGTGGCTCACGCCTCTAATCCCGGCACTTTGGGAGGCCAAGCTGTGTGGATCACCTGAGGTCAGGAGTTTGAGACCAGCCTGGCCAACATGGCGAAACTCCTTCTCTACCAAAAATTACAAAAATTAGCCAGGTGTGGTGGTGGGTGCCTGTAATCCCAGCTACTCAGGAGGCTGAGGCAGGAGAATCACTTGAACCTGGGAGGCAGAGACTGCAGTGAGCCGAGACTGCGCCACTGTACTCCAGGCTGGGAGACAGAGCAAGGAGACTCTGTCTCAAAAAACTAACAAACAAACAAACAAAAAACCGAAAGTCTTTAGCCTGGAAGAAAGTTCTTTACCAAGTGGCCTCAGCTGCAGTTCTAGTGTCAGCTGCCGCTGCTTCCTCTGCCTAAACCCCAGGCACCAATACAAAAACACCAAGAAGAGATCTGGTGACACCAATTTCCTTCATATTATACCCCTAAGAGGAAATAAACTCCTGTAGGATGGAAAATTGAGGAAAGCGATGGTGATCTAGGCCTTCCACATTTGATGATAAAAATTTAGAGTTTAATAAAATGATTCAGCCCAAACTTATATGGTAGTTGTAATAAAAATGACAAGAACAAGTGTTAATTCAATACACAAAAGATCAAGTGTCCTGGAGTCTTAATTTAGTCAGAAACATCACAAACCTGTCCATTTTCTCAGCAAAGATAATTTGTAGGATAGCAACTGAACAAATCTATTTGTTTGATTTTTCTCATGTAGATTTCTCAACCTACACTGAACAAATACCATGTTTCAAACTGCCAGTGTGGAAATCTGTTATTCAGAAATTCAAGGCCTTGTTTGAAAAACAGAACGCCTTACCCACTAAGCAGAGGTCCTCCACATGCTTTCAACCAGTGCGACCAACACAGTGGTCAAAATAATTAAAGTTCAAATTAGTAAATGTCAAATTTACTTTATGGTTTTAACTCGGGTTAACAATGAAAGCAGAAGGTAGAAAACTTAATTACGGACAACTCAGACTCCCAGACCCAACTTTCAGAAAATTAGCCTGTGAACATAAAAATAAAATATCCATGTGGCCTAATAATAATACATTTCCGTATCACATCACAGACAACAAACACCTAGATGATGCCTCTGTTTTACGGTAAAGGCACACCCAACCCCAATTACGATTCAAATGTATATTAACTTTTATGATGATTACAAAGTGCCAAAAAGGCTATAACTGTGGCTTATCTTTCCATAGGTGACTCAGTAAACTATTTTATTACTAGCAACACACATTGTAAAGGAAATAATAATTAGCTAAAAATTTCTTTCACCCACACAGTCACTCAGAGACGATATATCTGTCCTTAAGCTAAACTTGCCAATTCTGGCTTAGGTCTAGCCCAAAGGAACATACAATTTTAAAGCTTGACTGGACACTATAGTCACCAAGATTACTGATTTATTTCAAAAATGAAGAAACAGAACACGAGAGTGCAAAATAGCTCAAAAGTCCTCCGATCCAGCTGGTGGCCAAACTGGAGCCCGAAGGTCTTGACACCTAAGTGTGGGCTCCTTCTGCTGCACTGTAATGCCCCACAACATGAGTGACACCAGACCCTTCAGCCTCGGGTTCAAAAGGATTAGCTGAGGCTGTTAGGTGTTTATTATGTGCCAGACATTTTGTGTTTAGCATTTTATAAGCATTGGCTCATCTAATCATCTCAACAATCTCCAGGGCCTACCCAGGAGATTGCTGCCTCAAGTCACACAGCCCCAGAAGTAGGGACTTGGGACCTCAAAATGTGTGTCACTGAGCGTGTTCAACATGCTGCCTACCTCGTCCCTCCCTTTTCCTGTGATTCACACATAATAATAATAAAGGACTGGGGAAGAACTACAATAAGGAGCAGTGTTGAACTTGGCTTAATCCAGCATTTTCAAACTTTGATCATGGAAACTCTCCCCCCAGAATACTGATTTAACATCTTTCAGAACTATCACTCTTTTTTTTTTTTTGAGCAGCTCACACCTTTATTCTCCGCACTTTGAGAGGCCAAGGCAAGAGGACTGATTGAAGACAGGAGTTCCAGACCAGTCTGGGCAACAGTAGTAGAGACAGGGTTTGACCGTGTTAGTCAGGATGGTCTTAATCTCTTGACCTTATGGTCTACCCACCTTGGCCTCCAAAAGTGCTAGCATTACTGATGTGAGCCACTGCACCGGGCCCAGAGTTTTATTCTTTACAGGAGGTCAGTGCCCATCACGTTCCCTGTCTACAGACAAATAAAGTGCTGCTCTCTTTAGAGGGGCGGCAGCAGTCCTGCATGGTCCAGTGAGACCCAGAAGGTTCCAGGAGGCCTTCAGTCCTGAGTCCCTTTCAGTCATCGTCTTCTGAGTCTGACTCTTCTGCGGACTCGGATGCGCTCTCTGGCAAGTCGTCTCCCATCTGCTGGAACCTTCCCGACTGTGAATCCCACATGTATTTGATGGTCACCTTGAATTCAGCCATCTCATACCCAAAAAGCTTCAGGATGCGAGCCTGCTCTGGGGTCAGCACATCGCCCTCCTTGCACACCTCATAGTCGGATAGCAGAGTCACCACACCTCTCTTGAGGGTGGTGGGCAGGCCCAGCTGCCTAAGCTGTGGCTCCACGGAGTGGGGGAACTGCTCCAGGGGCCCCGGGTCCAGGCTCACAGTGAATGCTGCTTTGTTACCAGCGCGGGCGTAGTCCATTTCTGTGTATTTTGTGAACCACTCATTTACCTCCTCCTTTGTGCGGTTGGTGAACAGGAGACCCACTTCACCCCTCAACCTTTTGCTGACCTGGTGCAGGTTGTCTTTGTACTCATCAGATGGGCTTCGACCCAAGGCCACCATCATCACTTTGTTTTTGCCAAAGAACATCCGGCTGTGCTTCCAGGCATTCCGGATGTCCTTCAGCTTGCTGTTCCTCATGTTGGCCACAGAGAAGATGAAAAGGTACTTGTAGGTGTCCATACATTTCCGAAGCTCTTCTATCAGGTTTTGTTTCAATTCCAAGCCTTTCTTGGCAGTTTTGGTTAAGGAGACTTTCTTGTCGCACTTGGATTTGGGCATCGCGCTGAATCCACGTGCGGCGGAAGATGGTGCACCCCGTTGAGAACTATCATTCTTGACATCATAGATGGGGAAAAACATTGCACTGAGAGTTCTGAGTTCTGGCTTAACAGTTACTTCTCTGCCTAATGCCCCTCAAATTTCCTACACGGAAGATGCCTGGAGCCATGTACACCAATGTCATTCATTAATTTTTAGTAACACCATTTCTAACAAGCAGGTGCTCCACGCAAACTAAACATGTAACAGAAGGAAAGGGCCCTTTGTTTACTGTGGGAAAAAGATACTCTTGTCCTTAAATATGTTAGATATGGCTGACTTATAAGCACACACTGTTGTCTTTACTAGTACTTACTTTAAGCGTTTGTTTACAGAGAACTTATCTAGTATGTAGCAATTTCCTAAGCTTACCTTATTATCCTGTATATACATACAAACCATCCATGGAAAAAACCCAAAATCAAGAGTGAGGTCACACATCAAAGAAAATTCTTAACTCCCCCTACATAAGAAATTCTTAAGAAAGGTCTTTAGGCTGAGCGCAGTGGCTCACACCTATAACCTCAGGACTTTGGGAGGCCAAGGCGGGCAGATCACCTGAGGTCAGGAGTTTGAGACCAGCCTGGCCAAGACGGTGAAACCCTGTCTCTACCTAAAATACAAAAAATTAGCCAGGCATGGTAGCAGGTGCCTGTTATCCCAGCTACTTGGGAAGCTGGGGCAGGAGAATCGCTTGAACCCAGGAGACGGAGGTTGCAGTGAGCCGAGATCCGGCCACAGCACTCTAGCCTAGGCGACAGAGCCAGACTCCATCTCAAAAACAAAAAAGAAAAAAAGAAGGGTCTTTAGTTCCAAACTGCTTCAAACATCTTAAATAGTTCTTAATTCATTATATAGAAAGCTAAAGTCTCTTTAAGAAACACTTCAACATCCCTTCCACAGAGTGGGAATGAATTTAAATGATTTACTCATGCATGTTACGAAAACAAACTCAAAGCCAAAAAAATAATCAGGTTACATGAAGGTAGAGCCATGTAAGTCAGCCATATCTAACATATTCAAGGACAAGAGTATCTTTTTCCCACAGTAAACAAAGGGCCCTTTCCTTCTGTTACATGTTTAGTTCGCGTGGAGCACCTGCTTGTTAGAAATGGTGTTACTAAAAATTAATGAATGACAATTAGTGTACGTGGCTCCTGGCATCTTCCATGTAGCTTCACATTTGATTGGAAAGTGGGAGGCACAAGGATGACTGGGCTAGTCATAAAGACGTCAAGTCACAGGCAACTTTGGAGAAATTCCTCTAGTTCCATGAAGCTTCTGAAACGACCCAAGGTCTGGGAGGTGACAGAATTCCTAGTAATTATTCACAGCCCTTGAAGTCTGAATCACTCACTTGGAATGTGCCACTGATGTTGGCTGCTCCTGTTGGATGCCTCTTACAGAGTGGGGCTCTTTTCACACCACGGAGAAAGTAAGTTCCTTGAAGAAGCCCAAGACCCAGGCCTGAGCCTGATGCTTTCTGCGTCCTCTCCCTTGACTGGCATTGTATTCTAGGAACCAACATATGGTAAAGGCTCAACAGAGAGGAGAAGTCGTCCTTTCTTCTAAGGGGCTGAATCCAAGCTTTACACCATTTGGTGAAAGGAAATAACCAGGCCCTTTAAAGAAATTACCTGGTTACCCCCAACTGGGAAAAACAGATCAATGTTCTCTTACATGGTCTCTTTTTTAAAAAGCTGGGATTCGGCCTTATTCTGTGAGGGGAGCTGCCAGAAAAGGTAAATGTGACCTTGGAAGAAACACTGGGCTCATGAAGAAGGTCTCCAATGAGCCAGGCATGGCTCCGGTCTTTGGAAAACATTTACATGGCTGAAAAGTGTATTAAAAAGTAACACCAAGTTAGGGTACTTAACTGTAGAAATTCTCCTCTTTGTTTAAAAGAAGAACTAAACTTGGTTCAGAGCAGTTAGATTTCCTAAGCCAACGAAGCTCCAAATAAAATCTCTGTTTCGTAAAATGCTCAGCGCAATAATCAGTATTAACCTCCCTCACCCCGCCCCGCAAAAAAACCTATTGCCAGAGGATTACTTGGCACATCTAAACTTGTAGTCATGATTCAATATAATCAATACCATTTTCAGAAAGAGGCCTTGCTGTATGTACACTGGGGCACCTGGTGCTGTAAAACGATTTTTCTTCCTACAGTGTTTGTTTATTGATTCTCCAGAACAGTACCTGGCGCAGTAAGTGGTTTGTTGGGTAAATTTAAAACAGCACCTCAGATATAATGATCCAGAAAGATCTCATATGCTTATTTAACTGAATGATGTCCCCTTCCCCTGTCCCCAAGCATCACGACACATAAAACAGGATGCACCCACCCCCATCCTTCTCGCTTCTCTTCAATCTAAAGCTTGGTAACAATGCGCGGCCCTGGGTACACACACTCGCTGAGTCTATGCTCACTTCCCAGTCATCACATCACTGGCATATCACTCTACAAACTCATGTCATCCAAACCCCTCAGGTGTTCCAAGCCATCATCTCATGATGAACCCTTAACTGAATAAAACCAGCTAAAAGGAATGTAAACCTTTGCACCCAAACTCTTGACACATTTCATACTTTTTAACCAAAGTAATTACAGAGACAACTAATTAAAAGCCAAATATCCCACCTGGAGAAAATGGTCACATTATGCCCTTTTGTTGCTTTTGAATTTCAAAACACTTGCAATACAAAATCCCATCAATACGTTTTTTAAAAATATGCTTCATGAAACTGGTGTATTGCTTACACTAAAAACAAATAAACAAACAAGAAATCTTCCTCCTCAGCCACAAGGATAAAAGGCAACTGGGGGAAAAAGCAAAACAAAAGCAAAGCAGAACACATTGACAATTCTTCTGTTTGTGGTGATGGGTTCAGATTCCTGATCCAGAGAGAGAAGGGAAGCAACCTTTGTCTTGAATTAAATTTTCTGGCAACAACAGTAGGGATGTATGAGGCAATGTATACTAAAGCAACGCCTGGGACTTTGAGTGGGATTATGTTGAATATGCATGACACACAAAAGGAAAATGTTCATGACTTACAGATGTGCTCCACATTGAGCTTTCTTCCTTTTTTGGAATATCAAATAGAAGAAAGCAAGAGGTTTGCAGCCATGTTATTATAGGCATCGCCGCCTCTCCCCCTCCCAAACTAGAATATTCCAGTATTTATTTTGCTATCCATATGACCACAGTTTAGACTAGAGTAAAAATAGAAGCTGTGTGAGCCTAACCTGAAAAGCTCCAAGTGCTGGAGAGGGTCAGCATTAATAAATTCTAACTGAAGTAATGAGATTCTGTTTCCTGGTGGAGTTTGGCAAGGGAAGGGGGGAAAAAGATATTTGGAATTTATTTCGTATTCAGAAGTGTTTTGTAAAAACTACCATAATGGAACAGAGTCCAACTCAAGCACAGGAAGCCAACAGGCTCTGGTTTAGATTTAATAATTCACTTTAAGGGTTTTTCAACTGCTACAATTCTAGGCCCCAAGGCATAACCACATATATTCTCCTCCCTATACAGGGGCTGACAGAATGCCACAGAAAGTTTATAGGACAGAAAAATGAGAAAGACCTTGGGGCAAAGGGCAGATCACACCTTTCCAGGCTTCAGCTCAGGTTGGAGAAAGCATCTGAGTTCTGAGACTTGCCACAGTCAATGGATAGAATTTCCAAGCAAGCCTGCGTTTCAGAGGTCTGAGCTAGCACTGAGTCTCAATGTCAATAGGAATATGGAACACACTGCTGCTGGCCTGTAAAAAGAAGCCTTGACTATTTAAAAGATGCCAAGTAACAGAAATTGGCACAGACACTTTGGAAATCACATTGGCAATGTGTTTTAAGAAGCTATGAAATCTTTTATACTATTTGACCAGATGTTTCTTCTCCCAGGAATTATCCTAATGAAATAAAAGTTAGGGTGTTTACTACTGCATTAAAGACAAATCAGGGAGACAATGTCAATGCCCACTACAGGGCAGTACTATATCTAGTATATTATTATGCATGATATATTAGTTTTTTCAACACGGCCATTAAAAACCATACACCACATAGTAATAAGTATAACAACAAATTAAATTTAAAAAGCATACATTAATTTTTTCTAATATTATAACTATATTGCAATTTCATATACATTTGGCAAAACAATGAAAAGGGAATGGAAAATGAAGAAGAAAGATAACTGATTAGGGTAGTGGATTTGTGTGTAATTTTTTCCGAATTGATATTACAGCTACATTTTTGGCACTATAATGTTGCTAAAAGCACAGAAAGCACAAGACCGATAAAGTCATAGACATGAATGACTTGGAACCAGCTTTCAGACATCAACTATGCAAATAAACTTTTGAAAATTAATTAACAGCAAATATATCCAAACACAAGACACACACACACACACACATATAATATATATTATACATATATATATATATATATATATATATATATAAAAATCTAAAGCAAGTGTCATGAGCTGGGTGCAGTGACTCATGCTTGTAATCCCAGCACTTTGGGAGGCCAAGGCTGGAGGACTGCTTGAGGTCAGGAGTTCAAGACCAGCCAGGGCAATATAGTGAGACCTCATCTCTACAAAATATTTCTTTAAGAAAAGAAGCAAATATTATGGAAGTATATAAGTACTAAAAAAAAAAAAAATCACACTTCAGAAAAATGCCAACTCACAGAACAGTGCTTCGGCCACTCCTGATCCATTTCATCTGTGGTCACAAAGGCAAAAGGTCTAATAAAATGGATATGCAGTTGTAAGATTTCAGGTTTTAAAAATTCCTAGGTCTAATAACCTGTCTTGTTAGCGCCTCCTTGCTCCTGGGTTATTTCAAGTGGAGAAAGCCAATCCAAGTCAAGGAGTGCTTGCTCCGTTTCCCAGCCATGCAAGCTCCCTTCCAGCTTAGCCCCAGCCAGAGGAGGCAGATGCCTGCACTTGAGCCCTGTGCCTCCAACACACCTGCAGGGCTGACATGCCAGTGAGCTGGGCAGATGTTCCACACTGCTCTTGGTTTTCAGCGCCCTCTCTATTACACCTACCTTGCCTGTTTGTAATGGGAGCCTCTCCTTCTGCTGATTACAGGAAAGCCTATAAGTGGACACAGTGACCTGATCTAGGAGGACTTTTGAAATGAAGAAAATGACACTTGCAGCTGGTTCCTTATACGGGGAGCCTAAAAATGTGCCAGCACTTTCAAAGAATCTCTTAACAATTTAAAAATCTAAACAAAGCAAGAAAGCTAAAACAGAAGGAATAAATCTAAAGGCGGTGAGACCACCGATTTCAAGGCTGAAATTAAAAGAAACTGTTCTGAACGGTAGGATTTTTAATACCTAGCATCACCAGGGCGGCTGCACTGTGTGCCAAAGAGATTATTCATATTCCTGATATCTACTGGGAAAACAGGCTGATTCTGCCCAAGACTCCTAGCCCCAGGTTCTGTATTTATTTTTGTATATAAAGGAACTGTTCCTGGCCAAACTTTTTAACCAAGTAAAATAAATAACAGCCAACTAAGCAACTTTTAAAGAAATGGTT